TTTTTTTTTATTTTTTTTCTTTCTTTCCCAGGATAACCCTTTGATCTTCAAAAACCCACTAAAGTAGACATAACAACCCTCAAAATCCAGTTTTTTTTTTTTCTTCAACCAAAAGCAGCCAAATATTTACATCAATATGGTGGTTGGGCACAAAAGATCAAACCGGCCCAAGTCCGAGGGCATAAAGTCACTTATACCCTTGCAGAATGCAGGACAAAACTATTGGGTTCATTGGAGACTCCCTGGGCCGGCAGCAGTTCCAGTCACTCATGTGCATGGTCACTGCAGGCAACGAGCAGCCTGAGGTTGAGAACATGGAGACGAAATACGGGCTGACCAAGCCAAGTGGCGCCATTCGTCCCGACGGCTGGGCCTACCGCTTCCCTCACACCAACACCACTATCATCTACTACTGGTCCGCCACCCTCTGCGCCATCGAGCCCCTCGACCCATCGGACCCCTCCACCGACCACGCCATGTACTTGGACCGACCCCCGGCTTTTCTCAAGCAGCACATCCCCCAGCTCGACGTTGTGGTCCTCAACACGGGCCACCACTGGAATAGAGGGAAGTTACGGGCCAACAAATGGGTGATGTACGCAAATGGGAAGCCCATCACTGACCGGAAGCTGGCAGAGATGGGCAATGCCAAAAACTACACCCTCCACAGCATAGTCCGCTGGCTCGACTCTCAAATGTCTGTGCGTCCGGAGCTAAAAGTTTTCGTGCGCACGATTTCGCCGCGGCATTTTGTGAAGGGGGAGTGGGACACTGGGGGCAGCTGCGACAACCTGAGGCCACTGGCGAGGGGGGGTGAGGTTTTGAGGGAGGGGTCGGCGGACCCTGTCGTGGAGGGGGCCGTGAGGGGGACGAGGGTCCGGATTCTGGACGTGACGGCCCTTTCCGAGCTGAGGGACGAGGGGCATATATCGAGGTACAGCGTGAAGGCCTCCGAGGGGATAAACGACTGCTTGCATTGGTGCCTACCGGGTGTTCCCGACACGTGGAACGAGCTGCTTTATGCGCAACTTTAGGTTGCTAGTTAGTCCTTTTTTTTTTTACTAGGTGGGGATTTTTATTATTTTATTTATTATTTATTTTTGTTCCTTCTTGTAGATATTGTTTTGTTGGGCGGCATAGCATAATAAGGTTCTTTCATGGATATGAAGTGTAATGTTAGAAATCTTTGGTGTATTTACCGCCTTAGATGGCCAACGGACATATAAGCAAGAGGCGTAGAACAGCACTCAAAGAGGCATAGAATAGAACAGCCCAGTTGGAGAAATAGTCAATCAGACGGAATTTTGACATCGTCTGTGTCAGACCTTAGGATTGTTATTAATAATAGGATTTTTTTTTTTTTTGAAACGATAGTATTCATTAATAAAACACGTACTTACAACCGGCTCAGTAGCCGGAAAAGAGAGGTCTACCAAAGGTAGCTTAAATGTCACAACACAACCAAAAAAGCACACTCCCCAACGAGAGAATACCCACTCCCCAATGGGAGAATACAAACTCTCCAAGGGGAGAATCGACACTCCCCAAATGGAGAAAATACAAACGCACACTTACAGGACAAAACAAACACAACAAAAAAACATAAAACAACTAAAACTAAAACAAAAGTCCTTCCCGCAGCAGTTGTTGGAATGGTGTGTGTGTGCATGAGGTTCTGCATTTTCGTGTTTATATGCAGGCCTTATTTTGTATTTTGCTTCTTTTGTAATTTCCTTTTATTGTGATAGTTAAAGTCGTATAGCGACTTTGTTAGTTTTATGCGTTTTATGTTTCCTCAAAACGATGTCGTTCTCGGTTGCATGAGGATATGGTCCGTACGTCCTTTATTAGGTCATTCTACTGTTCATTTTCAGCTTGAACGAATATTATGAAATAAAGAGATTTTTCAAGATATTTTTGGTTCTGTAAATTCGAATTCAACATGGTATCAGAGCGATCGATTCTGGGATTTGAGAGCTAGTATTTGTTGTTTTGAGCTACGATTTGGCGATTCACGCTACAATCACCGTGAGATTCATCGTCTTCCTGATTCTGAGTTTTCGAGCTTCGAGCTAGCTCAACAATGGCGCATCGAAGGAATGAGGCATGGCCACTGCTAAACACCAACGTTGCTTCCGGATCTATGCTTCAGGAACAAGATCCTTTATTTCTCTATGCCTCCGATAATCCTGGTATGATCTTAGTCACCAATCCTTTAACCGGTAGCAATTTTCTGCCGTGGAAGAGATCAATGATTATTGCTCTTAGTGCTAAGACAAAAATCGGCTTCATTAATGGAGAAGTTGAAAAACCTAATGAGGATGATGATATGTACATTATGTGGAAGAAGGTGGATTGGACTGTACTCTCATGGATTTTGAATTCCTTGTCTAAAAACATAGCTGAGTCTTTCATGTATGTTGAATCTTCAAAGGAGTTATGGGATGATATATGTCAGAGGTATGGAGAGAGTAATGGTCCTCTGAAATATAAGTTGCAGAGAGAGATCACCCGCTTGAACTAAGAAAATGATGTTGTTGTGGATTATTTCAACAAACTAAAAAGGTTGTGGGATGAATATGCTTGTGTTGCACCAATGAGAATATGTAGTTGTGAGAAAGGGAAGCAGAATGCCTTGCATGATTCTGAAACTAAGTTGATACAGTTTCTTATGGGGCTCAATGATAGCTTTGATAATCTGAAAAATCAAATTCTGCTGTTGGATCCTCTACCTACTGTAAATAGGGCTTACTCTATGGCACTCACAGCAGAAAGGCAAAGGTCTGTTCAAAATTTATACAGTGAGAGGCTGGATAATGCAGTTTTGGTAGCAAGATCAGATGGATATGGGAAAGGAAATTTTATGGCAGGAAGAGGTGGAGGTCAATGGGGCAGTGGGAGA